ACAACAAAGAGCACACTCGCGCGTTCATGTCAGAATCCTACCGAACACCGTGTGTTTGCAAGCATTTCAACATAAAAACATCAAAAACCCAATGCTTTTTCACAAAATTGCTTTGGGGTGTCCTGTCAGACCGTCGGGCTTCCTCCGGCCACCTCTGGCTTCCTGCGGTGTACCGGGCCATTCTCGACTCGTCTGGCAATGCGTGCGCGGCATTCAACACGCGCTCGCCAGTTCCCGTCGGCAACCGCCATCGCGGCCGCATCAGCTGTACCAAACCGGCTGGCCGGTTTGACTTCGGCCCCCAGTTGTGCCAGCTTTGCTTCTTATGTTGTGGGAGGGCGGGTGGGATTGGGCATGCCATGCTTGACTCGCTCGAGCTGGCTAGCTTGACTCCTACTCGTATCCTTATTCCTTATTAGAATTTACTCCTACTCCCCCCTCAGGCCGGCAGATAGGGGCCGCATCCGGGTGGTCCCATCCTAACCTGTAAAAAACAATACAAAATCAACATTTTTCTTATTTTTTCCTCTCGACATGGACGTCCTGTCGTCCACGGCGATAATCCATTGCAAAAAATACCACAAAGAGCACACGCGCGCGTTCATGTCAGAATCCTACCGAACACCGTGTGTTTGCAAGCATTTCAACATAAAAACATCAAAAACCCAATGCTTTTTCACAAAAATTGTACAAATTTCCCGCCCGGGCTCTCTTGCTGAAATCATAGGAAAACCATAGGAATCTTAAGAATTCGGTCAAATCCAGCGATTTCTCGTCATCGCGCGGTGCACTCGCGATGCTCTGTCATGCACCCAGGCCGCGAATCCTGTGCAAAAAATACCACAAAGAGCACACTCGCGCGTTCATGTCAGAATCCTACCGAACACCGTGTGTTTGCAAGCATTTCAACATAAAAACATCAAAAACCCAATGCTTTTTCACAAAAATGCTTTGGGGTGTCCTGTCAGACCGTCGGGCTTCCTCCGGCCACCTCTGGCTTCCTGCGGTGTACCGGGCCATTCTCGACTCGTCTGGCAATGCGTGCGCGGCATTCAACACGCGCTCGCCAGTTCCCGTCGGCAACCGCCATCGCGGCCGCATCAGCTGTACCAAACCGGCTGGCCGGTGTGACTTCGGCCCCCAGTTGTGCCAGCTTTGCTTCTTTTGTTGTGGGAGGGCGGGTGGGACTGGGCATGCCATGCTTGACTCGCTCGAGCTGGCTAGCTATGGACTCCCTCCCCCTTCCCTACTCAATACTCCCGCAACGGACTACGGGACCTGGGTTTGCATAGTTGCGACGGCGACTGGCGGCTGGCGACGCCGCGACGGGACTGCCAGGACGGCCGACGGCCGCCCTGGTCCCAAAAAGAGTGGCAGGCGATTCGGTTGCGGCAGGCGGCACCGCCCGCAAAAGCTGCCTCCTGGGTCCCCATGGTGTTTAGCCAACTAAGAAATCCCCAACGGGGCATCGCTGTGTGGAGGAACGGCGTCGGATGTCTGTAGGGGTTGAACGAGGAGAGGAGGAAGGGAGGAGGAGGAGGAGGAGGAGGAGGAGGGAGGTGGAGAGGGGTGGAGGAGGAGGAGGAGGAGGGAGGAGGCGGGGAGGAGGAGGAGGAGGAGGAGGAGGAGGAGGAGGAGGAGGAGGAGGAGGTAGGAGTGGAGGGGAGGAGGAGGAGGAGGAGGAGGAGTGGAGAGGAAGGGAGGAGGAGGAGGAGGAAGAGGAGGAGGGGCCAGGAGGAGGAGGAGGAGGAGGAGGAGGAGGAGGAGGAGGAGGAAGAATAAGAAGAAGAAGAAGAAGAAGAAGAAGAAGAAGAAGAAGAAGAAGAAGAAGAAGAAGAAGAATAAG